TTCTTATAACCTGCTAACCAAACTGAGCTGAAACACGTCTGAGACTGTCGGTCGCTGGTTGGCTAGAGGGCGGAGTCACTGGTTGGCTAGAGGGCGGAGTCAGTGGTTTGCTAGAGGGCGGAGTCACTGGTTGGCTAGAGGGCGGAGTCAGTGGTTGGCTAGAGGGCGGAGTCACTGGTTGGCTAGAGGGCGGAGTCAGTGGTTGGCTAGAGGGCGGAGTCACTGGTTTGCTAGAGGGCGGAGTCACTGGTTGGCTAGAGGGCGGAGTCAGTGGTTGGCTAGAGGGCGGAGTCAGTGGTTGGCTAGAGGGCGGAGTCAGTGGTTGGCTAGAGGGCGGAGTCACTGGTTTGCTAAAGGGCGGAGTCACTGGTTGGCTAGAGGGCGGAGTCACTGGTTGGCTAGAGGGTGGAGTCACTGGTTGGCTAGAGGGCGGAGTCACTGCTTGGCTAGAGGGCGGAGTCACTGCTTGACTAGAGGGCGGTGTCACTGCTTGGCTAGAGGGCGGAGTCACTGCTTGGCTAGAGGGCGGTGTCACTGCTTGGCTAGAGGGCGGAGTCACTGCTTGGCTATAGGGCGGTGTCACTGCTTGGCTAGAGGGCGGAGTCAGTGGTTGGCTAGAGGGCGGAGTCAGTGGTTGGCTAGAGGGCGGAGTCAGTTGTTGGCTAGAGGGCGGAGTCAGTGGTTGGCTAGAGGGCGGAGTCACTGCTTGGCTAGAGGGCGGAGTCACTGCTTGGCTAGAGGGCGGTGTCACTGCTTGGCTAGAGGGCGGAGTCACTGCTTGGCTAGAGGGCGGTGTCACTGCTTGGCTAGAGGGCGGAGTCACTGCTTGGCTAGAGGGCGGTGTCACTGCTTGGCTAGAGGGCGGAGTCAGTGGTTGGCTAGAGGGCGGAGTCACTGGCTGGCTCGAGGGCAGAGTCACTGGTTGGCTAGAGGGCGGAGTCACTGGCTGGCTCGAGGGCAGAGTCACTGGTTGGTTAGAGGGTGGAGTCAGTGGTTGGCTAGAGGGCGGAGTCACTGGCTGGCTCGAGGGCAGAGTCACTGGTTGGCTAGAGGGCGGTGTCACTGCTTGGCTAAAGGGGCGGAGTCAGTGGTTGGCTAGAGGGCGGAGTCACTGGCTGGCTCGAGGGCAGAGTCACTGGTTGGCTAGAGGGCGGAGTCACTGGCTGGCTAGAGGGCGGTGTCACTGGCTGGCTAGAGGGCGGTGTCACTGGTTGGCTAGAGGGCGGAGTCACTGGCTGGCTAGAGAGCAGCGTCACTGGTTGCTCCAGAGCTTTCAACTCATTGGCTGCAACTTTTTTTGTTGTGTTCATCTGTCGCACACACACAGATCACCTTGCACTACTTTTCGAGACTCTAAGACACCCCCCCCCCCCCCCCTCAAAAAAAAATACCAACAACTCACGCACGAACTCAATAAATCTGATTTTCACTTGTAACGGAAAACCACCCAAATCATTTAGAGCCAAGCAGACCCCCCCCCCCCCCCACACACACACACACACACACACACACACCAAACTCAGCTACTGAGTGAAGATTTGATCAGCAGAAACAGGACGAAACCTTCGGACTCAGCTGTTCTTAACATTTATGATTAACAGTTAATTTGGGAGAGTGGTGTGTGTGTGTGTGCTGCCTTTGTGGGGACCGCAGCCTTTATGAGGACAGTAGTCAAACATCAGCTCACTCTAATGGAGGCAGAAACCCGGTGGTTTAAGTTCACCTCCAGATGACCTTGAACACCAGACCAAAAAAGTGGCTCCACTTCACCTTTCTTCTCTTTTTACACTTTAATGAGATCACACAAATATACAAACTCAGCAGAAAGGCAATGGCGATGATATAAAACTGACACAGGCTATTACATAATTCATCGTCAACATTACATTTGAACTCAGCAAACATGGTAAAAAAAAACAAGGCAATGGCGAATGGCTTTCAAGAATCGGTCCTGACTTCTTCCTGGACCGCGCTGCGTCAGGCTGCACCGTTCAGCGTCTCCAGTGAGAAAACCATCCAGGTGAGTGATGAGCTGTGGTGCAGAAGGGGGCGGATCCCGGGCTTCGGTGGAGCTGCTGGGTTTGGTTCTTAGAGCAGAACTCTAAAAACTGATGGCTTCTTCCTTAGCTGACAACAGCCAATCAGGGCCCAGAGAAACCATGGTAACACAGTGGGAGGGGCTTTAGCACAGCAAAGGTGTCACTCCAGGGCAACCCCCAACCCAATAACCATTCCTTTTTCTCACAGCCCACCAGCCTGGACCTGGTTTCTGTCTCCGTGTTTTCACCTTCGGAGCTTCAGCCGCCCCGGTTCTCCACCGAGCCTCCTGATCCGACGTGTTCTGCCCCTGAATGAACATCCCAGCCTGAACTGACACGAGCTCTGGCCCAAGATCCGGAGTTCTTGGGGCCTCTTGGCTGGCGCCTCAGATCCAAAAGCTTTGTGATGAAGACGTTCTGGCCTGAGGGCGGTTCTGGACGCTGCAGCTGAGAGGCTCCTGATCAGGATTTAATTATAGTCGACCATCGTGTCATAAAACAAGTCAAACCTCAGACTCCTACTGGGCTCAGACAGAGACACTCTGATACATGACACCTGCTGGAAACCAACCAACCATCATCCAGTGTGCTGCAGTGGGCGGGGCTTAGCCTGCTCGGGGTCCTGAGTGTTTATTTATCAGACCAAATAAATAAATGTTCACCAGCACTTCTTCTGTGGTTCTGAAACGTCCAAATGCCACCGGACCAGAACCATCTGATGGATCAAACGAGACAGGAAACCGGCAACCAAATATTAAACATCCCTGCTTCTGATTGGTCTGAACAGTTTTGAAAAATAAAACCAAATTATTTACAATAAAGTGAGGAGTCAGTGAGATGAAGAATGACTGGTTACTGGTTCCTGACTGGTGGTCGGTGGCTCCCGCTGGGACGTGGAAATGACAAGTCAACGTGAGTGATGAGCTCTTTCTTTTCTTCTTTGCTGTACAAACTAAAGATCTGTGTTCTCTCACAATAAATAGAATCCATCATAGAAATAAATTAAATAAATCATAAAGACCCCACCGCTAGAGGGTGTACAACTGTGTGTGTGTGTGTGTGTGTGTGTGTGTGTGTGTGTGTGTGTGTGTGTGTGTGTGTGTGTGTGTGTCAGTCCAACCCTGGGCTGCTCTGGTCCAGGAATTAGACCTTTTCAGTGAGCAGAGAGGCGATGGATGCGATGCTTCTGCTACAGAGGGAAAACCAGCTGAGGACTCATCAGACCATTAAGACTAGCTCAGCTCATTACTGCAGTTAACCTGAACTTAAACCAAAACTTCAACCTGGATTTAAACCAGGACTTAAACCAGGATTTAAAACTGGACTTAAACCAGGATTTAAACCTGGACTTAAACCAGGATATAAACCAGGATTTAAACCTGGACTTAGTTGGGTTAGAGCAGTTTGTTTAGTTTAAAATGAAGGAAAATAAATTGGAGAGAAGATTTTTGTGTTCAATGATTCAAGAGAATTGAAAAATGTTCAGCTCAAATCCCGAAGAAAAATGAAACGAGACTCCTCCCCCTCCTCTTTCCAGAGACCTTCTCCTCCCTGATCAGTATTCCCACTCCTCCATTTACCATTTAGTATTCCTGCTGTGCCTCCTCTCCCCGAGAATTTTCTTTCTGATCCATCATTTCTTCCTGTTTCTTTCCTTCACCTCACTCCTCCAACAGGAGAACCAATCAGAACCATCACTTCTAATGACTCCAACCAGACAGAAGCAGTGGATCTGATCAGATAACTCAAACTGAGCTGCAGATAAGATCACTGAATTATTGACTGAGTTTCCGCTGCAGCAGAATGTCTGCACACACACACACACACACACACACACACACACACACACACACACACACACACGGTGGGGAACAGTGGTACTGGTACGTTAGTGGCTTCCCTCCCACTTTCATCCCGAAAAGCCCCCCCCCCCCCCCCCCCCCCCTTTGGCCCCAAAGACAGTGACACATCAGAAAGTAAAAAGGTGCTTCGTAGCTTCATGGCCTCCCAGGGAACCGGAGACGATCGCCTGAGCTAGAACATTTTCACACAGAACACCCGCTCTTTAACCCAGCTATCGGTGTCCGAATCAGAGACGTTCCTGGACATTCCGGGTTTGTTCTGACCCAGTAACAGGAGAACCAGCCTCTAGGAACCGTTTTCTGGATTCGTTTTTACATATCAAACAATCTCCAGAGGAACCGGTCTCAGGTCTTTCCTGAAGGTCCAGATGACTCTGAGATGTTATGACTAATCTGACCACCAGGTGTCACTAGCTGTTGCAGAATGGTCCTTAAAAACCCAAATCCGCTTTGGGCCCGGGTCCGGCCCTAAACCAAGGCTCTGTACTGAGAACCCTTCAGAAGAACATCTAGAACTTTGTCCAGAACCAAAACTAAACCCGTCAGGTGTGATAAAAGAACTGGGCCCAGAACGGTTCCTATGTGAAAATGTTCTACCACAGAAAACTGAAGTTCTGGTCGGATTTCGCAGAACCCACTAGAACCCAAAGAGAGGTTCTGGTCCAGATCCAGCAGTCTGTGATGGCTTGGTTCTGTCCGGTCCATGGTCTCTGGGCTTTTCTTCCTGCTTTAGATTCATATGCAAAGTTCTGGTTTTCATGAGTTCTGTTCCTTCAGAACCAAACGACCCACAAACTTTTGACCTTTAATAGTTCCTGGTTCTTGTTGAATTTTTTTTCTTTGCGTTTTCTTTACATTTACTAGTCTAAAAGGTTCTGACACCTGGCCCGGTTCAGCCTGGCTCCGGGTGGGCCATTCTTTATGAATCACTGAGTTCTGCACAGTATTTCACGGTGAGCGTGGAGATGTGAAGTTGGGCCGGTACCGAGTCCAGAGTCCTGGGTGCTCTGGTCCTGAAGATCATAGAGTCCAGTTCCACAGGTTCTACAAACAGCCTGGTTTATTTACAGACGAGGGCCTTTGGGCCGGTTCTGGAATGTATTTCAAAGTTTAAACTGTTTTATTGGAATTTAATCTGTTGTAATTCTGGTCCAGCCCAGTCCAGAAGTCCACAGTCTGGCCGGGTCAGGCAGTATGACACTGAGGGTGAGGAGGATGGGTTGACCAGCACAGACCCGGGTCGGTCAGCAGGCATCAGGCTCAGTGGCAGAAGCCGGGCCTCCCAGAAGGTCCATAAGCCTCTGAGAAGGTCCGGTATCAAGGTCTTACCTCCAAGTCCTCCTGGATCTTACCCAGACTGCACCCAGAACCAGATTGGGTTTCAGGACACCCTGGTGGACCTCCATCATTAAAGCTTAAGAACCAGCTGATCCATTCCAGGTGGAACCAGAGACCCAAAACAAGGTTCCGTCATGGAATTTGATCTCATTTTGTTAGAGGACCTGGATCCGTCCAGACAGAACCAAGGATTCAAGTTCAGACTTCAGGATCCGGTCTCCTGGACAGGTTCTGAGAGACGTGGTCAGCTTCCTGTCACAGACCAGAACTAACCCAACCCAAAGTTCTGGACCTGGTCCTCAGACCTGCAGCTGAGCGAAACCCAAACCTACAAACGAGTCCATGAAGTCTTGGTCAGGTCCCGGTTCTGATCCAAATGTCTCAGAGTCCATCAGAAGGAGCTGGTTTGGGTTCCATCCGGTCCAAAGTCCAGTCCAACCCCGGTTCTACTGAGCCGTGGACCAACTGGAGAGCTTCCTGACTGCTGGTGTAGGTGAAGGTGTGACCGTGGGTTTGGTCCATCTCAGAGCCCCCCCTCCCCCTCCCATAGGCCCCTCCCCCTCCCATAGGCCCCTCCTCTCAGCTGCTCCCAGACATCAGGTTGATGGCCTGCTCCAGTTTGTGCCTCAACTTGTGTTTGCGACAGTACCCGTCCCGGTCCAGCGCCGTCAGGATCTGCACCCGAGCAAAAACAGAGGGAATCGGGTCAGAACAGAACCAGCAACCTTTAAATTGACACTCATGTAGCCACACCCCCATGGGGGCCACGCCCACTGAACCGAGGCTCTGCCGTGGCCCTGATGCAGAGTGGACCGGGTCGCCTCCCGTTTCCTCCTCAATAATCAGCATGGTGGTTCTGTTGGCTCTAAGGGCCGAATGGTGTGTGTGTGTGTGTGTGTGTGTGTGTAGGTGTGTGTGTGTGTGTGTGTGTGTGTGTGTGTAGGTGTGTGTGTGTGTGCGTGTGTGTGTGTGGGGGGGGGGGGGGGGGGGGGGGGGGGAGCAACAACGCCCTCACCTCTTCCTTGTACTTGTTGATATAGAAGTAGAGCTCATTGAGCGCGCTCAGTGTGTTGAACTCGTTGCCATGGAGACGAGACTGCTCCACCAGGTAGGCGTCCATGTCCTGGTCACTGATGCTGGGCATCTTAGAGATGTCCCTGTAGTACCTAGAGGACGAAGACAGAACCAAGATCATTTTCATAATGTCTCAGCTCGAGGTTCTGGTTCCACCCTCCGGGCCACTCTGACCCAAATCCCACTAATGATGATGTCTCTGTGGACCAGACTGGTGATGTTAGCCACCACTGGCTAACGTCTAACTATCCACCCATCACACAGCTAGCTAACCCGTTAGTGAGCAGCCTAGGCAGCTGGTTGGTTACCTCTCCACCCAGCTCTTGTAGTTGGGGATGTCTTTAGCGTAGAGCAGCTTGTTGGACGGCGAGTCCTTTCCCAGACGGTGCTCTGATGTGGAGCACGAGTCCATGAAGGTCTGAGCGACGACGGACAGGCAGGCGTCGGTGATGCTGCTCTTGTGGATGTCGAACACGAACTGAGGGTTCTTTATGACGTTCACCCAGAACCTAAGGGGGAGGCTGTGGACCAATCACAGAGGAGGTCACTCACATGCTGCAGCCGACTGGACCACCTGAGTAAAGCTCTCCTGTCGTGAGTCGTTGCGACTCACCAGTTACTCTTCCAGGTGTGCCGGACATCTGGGTCCGTGATCTGGCGTTTGTCCGCTTGCTCGTCCAGGAAATCAAACATGTACTTGATGGCCAATGGGAGCGCAGATCCGCGGTGGGCAGTGCTGAACACCGTCTCAAACAGATCATCTACAAACTTCTGCAGTGTCCCCTAGTGGTGGGAGGAGCAACACACAGGAGATGAAAACAGAGCAAAGGGACTAGATACAAAAGCTGTGTGTGTGTGATTCTGTGTGTGATTGTACATGTGTGTGTGATTCTGTGTGTGCACATGTGTGTGTGAGCGTGCGCGCGTGTGTGTCTCTGTCTGTGTGTGTGTGATTGTACATGTGTGTGTGTGTGTGTGTGTGTGTGTGTGTGTTTCTGTGTGTGATTGTACATGTGTGTGTGTGTGTGTGTGTGTGTGTGTGTGTGTGTGTGTGTGTGTTTCTGTGTGTGATTGTACATGTGTGTGTGTGTGTTTCTGTGTGTGATTGTACATGTGTGTGTGTGTGTGTGTGTGTGTGTGTGTGTGTGTGAGATTGTACATTGGTGTGTGTGTGATTGTACATGTGTGTGTGTGTGTGTGTTTCTGTGTTTGATTGTACATGTGTGTGTGTGTGTGTGTTTGTGTGTGTGATTGTACATGTGTGTGTGTGTGTGTGGTGTGTTTCTGTGTGTGATTGTACATGTGTGTGTGTGTGTGTGTGTGTTTCTGTGTGTGATTGTACATGTGTGTGTGTGTGTGTGTTTCTGTGTGTGTGTGTGTGTGTGTGTTTCTGTGTGTGATTGTACATGTGTGTGTGTGTGTGTTTCTGTGTGTGATTGTACATGTGTGTGTGTGTGTGTTTCTGTGTGTGATTGTACATGTGTGTGTGTGTGTGTGTGTGTGTCTGATTGTACGTGTTTGTGTGTGTGTGTGTGTGTGTGTTTGTGTGTGTGATTGTACATGTGTGTGTGTGTGTGTGTTTCTGTGTGTGATTGTACATGTGTGTGTGTGTGTGTGTGTGTCTGATTGTACGTGTTTGTGTGTGTGTGTGTGTGTGTGTTTGTGTGTGTGTGTGTGTGTGTGTGTGTGTGTGTGTGTGTGTGTGTGTGTGTGTGTGTGTGTGTGTTTCTGTGTGTGATTGTACGTGTGTGTGTGTGTGTGTCTGATTGTACGTGTGTGTGTGCGCGTGTGTTTCTGTGTGTGATTGTACATGTGTGTGTGTGTGTGTGTTTCTGTGTGTGATTGTACATGTGTGTGTGTGTGTGTGTGTGTGTGTGTCTGATTGTACGTGTTGTGTGTGTGTGTGTGTGTGTGTGTGTGTGTGTGTGTGTGTGTGTGTGTGTGTGTGTGTGAGACCTTTGTGGCCAGCAGGCGGGTCAGGTAGATCTCAGAGACCATCTTGCTCCCTCTGTCTCCCTCCCGCTGGTCCGTGTGTTCGTGGTTCTTCACCAGGTGCCAAAGTTTGGTTCCTGGAGAAAAACCAAATGTGCTTCAGAAACTTGGTCCAACCAAACCAAAACCGGAACCCAAAAACCTCCAGAATCCTAGAAAGCTCCAGAATGACTTTGGTCCGAGTCATCAGCCGACTCTGAAGTTTAGAAGCTTGTGATACGTTTGGTTCTGGTCCAACAGTACCTGTCTCCTGGTCCGGGGTGATCATCGGGGCTCTCGATCTCAAGCTGTCAGGACTACTTGAGGTCCGTAGTAACGACTCTGATGGCACAAGAAAAACGGGATCAGAACCACGAGAGCTGGAATTCTGGTTCTTCCGTGGTTCTGCTCATAGACAACCATCGGTCAGAACCAATTCAGCACCGGGTTTCACAGAACTTGGGTTGTGTGTTCGTAAATAATCAGAACCAGACAACCTTTGACCTTTAAAACAGGAGAAGAGAGGGGCGGGTTACCGTATCGGCTCAGGGACCGGGTGAAGGTGAAGGAGTTGGCTATATTGTAGGCAGACACCTGCTTCTGGACCAGCGCCACCACGGACCCGTCTGTTACCTAGCAAAACACACACACACGCACGCACACACACACACACACACACACACACACACACACACACACACACACACACACACACACACACACACACACACACACACACACACACACACACACACACAAAACCATTCAGCAAGCCGGATCAGACTGGACCCAGGTAAAAGGTTCTACTGCAGTCCAACCAGGACTCTGAGCTGTGCAGCTGAGTTTTGTCCCTGCTGGGTTACCGTAGGGATGTCATGTCTTTCCACACTGTCTCAGAACCACTGAACCCATCTGATCTGGGTCGCTGGTTCCAACTACGGAGATGTGAAATCAGCCTTTAGGCTGTGACCCTTGACCTCCGAACCTCCTGACACCTTTCAACAGCTGATTCAGGACTCAAACCCAAAGACAATGAACGGGTCTTAAACGGGTCCGCACCTGGTAGTGAGCCAAGGTGTTCAGTCTCTTCCAGTCGCTCTCGATCTTGGTGGTCACGTCTTCATCCTGCAGGATGATCCGGGTCAGTCGACCCTGTCTCCACTCTGAAAACACAAACACAAACTCAGGTCTCCCAGAACCAGGGTGCATCAGAACCACCTGCAGCAGTTCGACCCATGAGGTGGCAAGTCATTACCGAGGTCCATGTCGTCAGCCTGTGGTCTCTGAGAGAACGGGATTCCTTTGTAGACGGCGTCCAGCAGCTTGTCCTTAACCTGGGTCACCGTGTCACAGTTCAGAACCTTCACTGGTACCTCGGTTCCAGCTTCGCCCTCCGGAGGGATACACATCAGGGTCTGAGGAGGGACCAGAGTCAGAAAACAGTCCTGTTCCACTCAATGTCTGGTTCTGGTCTAGTGACACGTGAGCTGTTTGTGGACATGCGCTCCTATTGGCTCAGCGAGCTGAAGATGCTGTGTACCGTTTCCATGGAAACCAGACTCAGCTGCTCACTCTGATCTACAAGGTGACAGAAAGTTTAGGAGTTCCACCTTAGATCCCAGAGAGCAGCCCTTCATCCTTCTGCACACCTCATGTTCCAAACCATTGCTATGGATACACTCAACACAGGGACCAGCTCACCAGAACCAGAACTCTACTGTTGGACCCGCCTGCAGCAGGGAAACCGGGGGAACTCGGGTTCCTGCTGCAGAACGGGTTGATCAAGGACATGAAGAGCGAACCAGAGGCGCACACTCATGGAATGAATAATAATAATAATAACAATAAAAAATAACAACAATAATAATAATAATAATAATAATAATAACAACAATAATAATAATAATAACAACAATAACAATAAATAATAATAATAATAATAATAATAACAACAATAATAATAATATTAATAATAGTAACAATAACAATCATCATAATCATACTAATATTAATAATAATGACAATAACAATGATAATAATAACAATAACAATAATAATAATAATAAAAACAACAATAATAATAATAATAATAATAATAATAATAACTATAATAATAATAATCATATTAATAATAATAATAATAATAATAATAATAATAATAATAATAATAATAATAATAACAATAATAATAATAATAATAACAACAACAATAATAATAATGATAATAATAATCATCTGCATAATAATAATAATAATAATAATAATATGCCTAATCATAAACTAATAAATGAAAATGAAATGTTCAGGAACACCAGGAAGGAGAGGCAGGAGCAGGAGGGAGTTACCAGCTGTTTGTAGTCGATCTGCTGGCGGATGAGTTTGTCTTCACTCAGAGAGTAACGAGCTTCTCCTGTGATGGCATCAATAGGACCTTTCTCCATCTGCTGCTTTATGGCACAGTAGAGCATAAAGAGAGGCTCACCAGCACACTCCTGAGGTCAGAGGTCAGGGGTCAAGACCCAGGAATGTAGAGGAGGCAGGAGATGGGGACAAAAGACAAGAAAGAGAGAGAGAGAGAGGAAGCGGAGGAGATGAATGTGTTGGTTTAATCCTAAAACATCAACAGCTGAGATTTCATTATACAAACAAACTGAAGCTCTGATCCGATTGGTCAGAATTAGACTTGACCCTGATTGGTCAGACTGAAGGGAATTAAGAAAAGAAGACAGGAAGGGTTCGTTACTTTGAGGAATCGGTGCAGCAGGAAGGTGAACCAGTTTGTCAGCATCTTCTCAGCGACGGACTCCGTCCTAAACAGACACAGAGGTCAGAGGTCAGGACAGAGAGGACAGGTCCAAGTGTTCCTTCATGTGTCTCAGGTCAGGCACCAACCTCCTCAGCAGCAGTTTGGGATGGTTCCTGTTCTCCAGGTTCTTCTCAATCAGATCAGCCAGCAGCTGCTTCAGAACCACAGTAGCGTACTCCATCCGGCCCTACAGAGACGGTTTACCCATCAGCCCTCTCGGCTTTCAGACATGACCTCACGGTGGGTCTGACACTACCTGCAGTGCGGCCATCAGCAGAGAGGCCACGTTCCCTCTGTCCCTCATTGAGAAGGACCTCTGAGCTTCCAAAGTGTGGATGAAGGTCAGCAGAAACATCTTGTTGTTCAGCAGCTGGCTGAAGAGACGCAGAGCTTTCTCCACGTTTGCCGGAGACTGGAAAACCAGAAGACACATGAGTGGAACCTCACCAGATCGGGCTACAGAAAGCTCAGAACCTTTTAGAACTTTGGCCCATACGCACGTCAAGTTCTTTAAGGATAGGATGTTCCTCAATCCCAGGAAACATGACCCTCATAGTGTAGTTCCGATACTCAAGGAAGGGAATCTTCACTCCATCCATGTCATTCGTCAGTTCCTGGATATCGGTCTGGAGCTCTGCGAAGGCTGCAGGAGAAAGGAGGTCAGGGTTAGGGTCAGGGGGGAAGTCCAGGGTCAAGGAAGAAGTCCAGGTTCAAGGAGGAGGTCTAGGGTCAGGGAGGAAGTTCAGGGTCAGGGAGGAGGTCCAGGGTCAGGGAGGAGGTCCAGGGTCAGGGAGGGGAACCGGGAATAGGTTCAGGGAGGAGGTTCAGGGTCAGGGATGAAGGTCCAGGGTCAGGGAGGTGGTCCAGGGTCAGGGAGGAAGTTCAGGGTCAAGGGGGAGGTCCAGGGTCAGGGAGGAGGTCCAAGGTCAGGGAGGAGGTCCAGGGTCAGGGAGGAGGTCCAGGGTCAAGGAGGAGGTCCAGGGTCAGGGAGGAGGTCCAGGGTCAGGGAGCGGAACCGGGAATAGGTTCAGGGAGGAGGTCCAGGGTCAGGGAGGAGGTCCAGGGTCAGGGAGGAGGTCCAGGGTCAGGGAGGAGGTCCAGGGTCAAGGAGGAGGTCCAGGGTCAAGGAGGAGGTCCAGGGTCAGGGAGGAGGTCCAGGGTCAGGGAGGAGTTCCAGGGTCAGGGAGGAGGTCCAGTGTTAGGAAGCAGGTGGACTTACCCTCCTTACACTCCAGAGCCACTCTGCTCTCCAGGTTGTCCATCTGCAGCTGCAGGCGTTTCAGCGTGCGGTCAGCGTCTCTCGTCTTCCGCTTGTAAGCGATCAGCACGGCGATGATGGCAATGAGTAGAACTCCGCCACCTGCTCCAATCCCGATGATGGCGGGGAGCGTCAGAGTGCTGTCGGAGTAGATGTGAAGCATTCCAGGGGAGTATTCCAGACCCCCCACCTGGATCTGCGGGACAAACACAGCTCAGGAGAACTGGACCTGGCTCTGAATTACATGCTCTCTAACTTCCTGTACCAACAATAAAACGTTTTGCTCGTCTTGCCTTCCCAGCATGGGGCGGGGCTAAACTCACCACGACCCGCTGCTCTCCGGTGAGATCCGGCGAATCACAGAGCAGCTGGTTCTCGGACACGGTGAGCAGGCAGGGCGAGTCTCCGATCAGGACTGTGTAGTTCAGCCGGTTGTTCCCGGGAGCTGATGGGATGAGGTTCTTACCCTGAAAACAGAACCAACATCTGCTCAGTCCGTTCAGGTAAGAGACAGTCCTACCAGAACCGGGTCAGAAACCCGCTCACCTTCAGAATGATGGGCGAGCCCGGTTTGACCTCCAGGATCCCAGAGGTCCCAAGAGGATCAAAGACGGGGTTCGGGAAGTGGGTGAAGGTGGTGGAATTCAGGACAAGTAGCGAAGACACCTGGACAGGTGAGACAGTTAAGTTCAGCAGCAGGTTCTGATGTACTCAGAACCCGTCTCTCTGGACCTGCTGGGGCGGAGCTACCTGGTCAAAGATGAAGCCGAACTCGTCAGGGCGCAGCGCCCCCTCTGGTGGGTCGGGTTTATCATAGATCAGACCCGGAGCCAAGCAGGTCATGGTGCTGTCGTTGACCACGGAGCAGAACTACAAACAGGAAACAGAGTTCGGGTTCAGACTGGTCCCGATGCATTCTGGACAGCAGAAAATGGTTCTGATGAAGTCAAAACACGTCTCACGTTGTTGGTCTCCACCCCTCCGTACTTGGCCCTGACCTTCGGCTCCTGGATGGTCAGGAGGTTGGTTCCGGTCACTGTGATCACCGTGCTGCCACTACACAAACACAAACAGCATTAGCGGTTCTGATCAGGTCGCTCGGTACCCAGCAGGGTTCGGGTCCACGTTCTCACTTCAGGATGGTCCAGTTGGGCTCGATGCTGGAGATGGTCGGGTCCTCTGTGTACGTGTAGCTGATGTCTGAGTTGGTCACCTCGGCCCTGTCGATCATCAGCCGGATGGGGGTGGGGCCGGTGCCGGTACCGGAAGTGGGGCTGATGCAGACTATCTCCCGATTGGTCCGTCTGAGGAGAGAGGCGTGGATGAGGAAGGATGTTAGCCTAGTGAACTAGACCAAATTCTTGCTTTGCAAAGTTTGGTCTAGGCACGCTCCATTGGAACCTCAGCAGCTCCTACCAGGACTCTGGCTAGCCAATCACAGCTCTCTAGAGGGGTTTCAAACACATAAAGAGCTGTGATTGGTCCATAATGGTGGGCCAATCATAGTGCTCTATCTGCTTAGTGAACAAATCACAGAGCTGTATCCGCTTTGTGGGCCAATCAGGGCACTCTATATGCCTGGTGGGTGGGATGATGCAACAGAGTGAAACAAGAGTATGTCACATTCATTGTCCAGTGGAATGCGGAGATCATTTGAAAGACAACGGTAGATCCCACCCCACAACCGAGAGCCGTCAATGGAGCATGGCCAGACTAAATAATACATTTATTTAGTCTGGCTTGCCAGGCTAGAAGGTTGTTCCTTCAGGTGAATCAGACGAGGAACTCAGACACAAACTGACTTGACAAAGAGACACTCCTCCTTATCGATGTAGATGACGACGGCACTGCCGGCGTCCAGATGTCGACCAATCACAGTCAGCCTGGTGCCTCCGGAAACCGGGCCTCTCACTGGGCGGATGCGAGTGAAGCTGGGGCTCTGGTGCAGGAAGAGGAAAAACAGTTGTCTCTACTTCCTGTTTCCTGGTGGAAGTCCACCCTCCAGCTGCGTTACGCAGAGCTGATGTAGAAGTTCATGTGGTTCACCTGGTGCTTCTGGGAGCACACAAGCTGTTGGGGTTAGACTCACCACAAAGGAGTAGGTCTGGGTGGAGAGCGTTCGATACTCCGCGCTGCACACGCCGATGCACAGCTCCACCGGCCCGCCTGGAGAGTGGGGCAGCAGGGCCTCAGCCATGTCACACACGATCCTGAGGACAAACAGTCAGGGAGTCAGGACACGCCCACTGACACGTGGAGGACACGCCCACTGACATTCTCACTGACCTCTCGGCGCTGATGTATTGCGTTGGGACGGGGTTACAGCGAACTCCAGCCACCTGGATGTGAGCGATCTCCCTTACCTGCAGACCCAAGTTCTCCCCCTCAATTGTCACCCGTGTCCCTCCCTCCCGGGGTCCCGTCAGGGGATCGATCTGTGGGTGGGCGAGGGGGAGACATCTGGTGTTAACCAGGCCAGCTACTCAGGAAGGAAACAGAATGTAAGAATGATACCTTGGTGATACGCGGGTGGCTGCAGCGCAGGTTGTGTCGGCCATGATGCATCCAGTTCTGCTCAGGGGAGGGGCAGTGCTGCTGGAGGAGGCACTTCTTGCTTTCAGTGCACCACCCACACTCAAAGACAGGGGGCGC